GCAAAACAAACACCATTCAGAAGCTATCTTCAAGAGATGTTGGCTCTTGTAAGTTCATAATATTTTCCTTCTTCATGCATTTTTTTATGTTTTAAATGTTGTTAATTAATGTCATGTTTAATGATAAAAATACACCGAAAAATATATAATTATAAAATTTGTAGCATGTAAACACATTTGGTGAAAGAATAACATTTTGTTTCCCACGATTCACAGGTAAAAAGAGAAAGAGCAGAACGCGAAGCTTTAGGAGCATTGCCGTTATACCAACGAACAATTCCTTGAGCCAAGAAAAAAAAATTAAATCCATATTATATGAGAGTATGAGATGCCAAATTGTGTTTATTACTGTGTTATTTTGTGTAAACTTAAATGTGATGTAAAATAACTGATATCTAATGGTGTTATATAAGTTAAATATTTATTATTTATACAATAATATATTTTTTTACAATTTATATAACAAAATTACCTTATACTTAAATTGTACAAATAATTTTTTTTTAACTATTTTAACTCAAGACCTTTGTCTCATGTTGTTTTAAAAGAAAATTGAAAAAAAAAAAGTATAAATAATTAGTCCAAAAAAAACTATGATTCTTGAAATTCAGTCTAAAAAGAGTTAATGTAAATGAAAGGATCCCAATTTGAGGCATTGATTACACCATTAACACCTTGGACTCCACTACCACCGCCACCACTTACACCGCCTACCCAACTTTGGTCACAATGTACCGCTGGTTGTTCCGGCCAAACTCCGGTAGCCGTCATTCCCAAATTTGCTTGGGCTGCTCCGGTAGAAAGCGACCACAAAGAATCCGTTGTGTTGTTGTCGAGGAAACTGCTAAAAACATCCACGACTTGGTCGTTCGCCGCCGGCCATGGAGTTTCAAGCGGCCATGAGGTCGTTGCCGATGGCGGCAGAGGCTCGTAGCATGTATTGTCCCATTGCCCCCTTTCCAAATCTTCGGGTTTCTGATTTACGGGGGGTATATTCGTAATAACACTGGAAGTAGAAGCTACGGCGGCCGGCGGTGTTTTCCTCTTTACACCGATGTGGTGTTGCGTCGTCGGTAACCCTAAATTTTTCCACTTCTCCGCCGCGTTCTTTGAGCTACCCCCGCCGGATAATTTCGCCTTCAAAGCTCCTAAAAGCCCATCATCGGCGTCATCCAATCGACAGGCTTCCTCGAACGAGAACGGCTCCGCGTTTTCCGGCAAACACCGGAGGGAGTTCGCCGTCTCTGGCAGTTCAAAATTGGTACGGGCATTGGCTCCACGTAATGACCGGGCAGCATCGTCGTAAGCCCGGGCAGCGTCCTCCGCCGTGTCGAAAGTTCCTAGCCATAATCGTACTTTTTGCAAGGAGTCTTTGATTTCAGCCACCCATCTTCCCGATGGCCGTTGCCGAACCCCGACGAATCTCGGGTGTCCTCTGGAGTTTGACGCCTTCCTCCGCCCCTTGACACCGCCTTCAGCCGTCGAATTCATAGTCATCAAAACTTTTAGAAGATAAAAATGGGATTAAATTCTTATATGTAACGTGAAGCCGTAGGTATCTGAATAACTAAGAAGAGGACAATTTAGAACGAGTCATGAGAACGACATTATTTGGAGAAAATGATGCAGGCGTGATAGATTTTATCGGCGTAAAAACAATTAAAATATAAGGTAAATTACAGAAATAGTCCCTGTGGTTATATGAAAATTTTGGATTAGGCCCGTGAAAGTCTTTTATTGTTGATTTCATTCCTAAGGTTTCAATTCATTTTGAATCAAGTCCCCATTATTAACACCTTTTAGTTTTTACCGTTAAAAGCATGTGAATTTACCAATGTTCTAAATAACGTAAGGTGTGACTTGACGGCAATGTCAAGCCTCAAGTTTTTCCAAGCCCTGGCGAGTCACGACGTTTGTAAAGCATTACTTAAGGCAACAATTTTCTATATAATTAATATTTTTATATGCATTTTCAACTATTATTCATTTTTATACATATATATGAGTTAAGACGGCGTTTTGGCAAAGTTTAACGACACGTACAAGTCTTGGAGCCGTGGCGCGCCATGGCGAAACCATGACGAGCTTTTTAGAACCTTGGAATTTACTTATTTACCGTTACTATTCTTAACTTATTTTTGTATTATTTATAATTTTTTGGAATTGAGAAAATGAGAACGACCCAACCTCTACCTTCCTTCACCCCACATCTTCATATCTACCGTATGAATGCAAATCGATCCCAATCAATGGACCTGCAAATCAATATCAACCACTGGACCTACAAATCAATATTAACCACTAGACCTACAAATCGATTGCATATGAAAAGATCAATCTTTTATAATATATGCAAATTGATACAAATTGCCAAGCTTCAGACCTACATATTAGCCTTTCAAAAACCTGCACATTCATACCAACCTTCAAATCGATTACATAAACCGAATATTAAGCCAATTACCACACTACCTAACCCAACCTTCACCATCTTTTTCTCCGGGAAACCACCTGTAACTTCGTTTTCTCCGGTAAATCCATCAATATTCATCTTACACTAAATCATTGTCTTTATGTTCCGCCATTCTTAAACCCTTCAAATCCTTTAATATTCATCTTACATGCAGTCCATAAACCATCAAAAGGTTCCGACGTGACTCCTTTTTTTATTATTCTTTCTAATTCAAACGATTAACGAAGGACCCATATGCATTTCATGAATAAGAAAATCAGAAGTAAATAAACAAAATTTCTGAATAAATGACCACCCTTGTTTTTTGTTCCTTCTTGATACGAACTTTGGTGCACCATCCTACTGTGGTCAAAATGTTAGAACTTGGAGTGGGGAATGGAGTTTTTGGGCTCTTCAAATTGATGAATAAAAAACCCAAATGTCAAGAAATCAATGAACAAGAAACCAAAAAAATCATAAATTAATTAACAAAAAATTACTGCAACTTTAATGGCTTCAACGTGTTCGTCTTCTACCTCCAAAGAAATCGACAAGTAGAGAAGATCGAGAGCAAGCTGAAGGAAGAGAACTAGTTGGAGAGGATTAGGTTAACGGTGATTGGAGTGGGCTGGCGAGAAGAGGTGCACAGGGCAGAGCTTGAACAATTTATTAGTGGGTGGGGGGCGAAAGTATTATAAACTAAAATTAACGTTCTTACACAAAAAAAAAAAAGCAAATTTGTTTTTGCAAAGAAACACCAAAAATAACTAGAAAAGGAATTAGAACTCAGCCTAACGACCTTTAAGGTCTTTAAATTCATCAATTACCAACTTCGAATCAATATTTTCAGCAATTTCTCTTTCTATGTAAATCACCAAGTTGTTTGAGAGAAAGTTAATCGACATCGTATTGCGAAGACGGTTTTTGAATATTTTCATTGCTAAAAATCCCCTCTCTGTTGTTGCTGTACAAACTGGAAGTGTCAAGATTAACCGAACCACTCTATCAAGCAAATAACACGTCTCAGGTTTCTGAGTTTCCACAAGACCCTTGCATAAGTCAACCATAGTTGATACACCACTAAGCTTGGATTCTTTGTCATATCAAATTAAAAATCTCCAATTGATATCATAATTGAATTCTCTCTTGCTCCGTAAAATGTTCGGGATAATACCTCTCAACAAGACGACAAATTTGATCAACTTTAATCACTTTAGGGTGTTCTTTTGAAACTAAAGTAGAGCTAAGACTTAATAGTTCCATTGCGTAATCATTGAATCTAATATTCAACTCATGTAGTTGTTTGTCCAATATGTCTGTAAACAAATCCACTCGATAAAAATGTTCAAAATTAACATGATTATCTATTTTTCGAGGCTGGTATCGAGTAGAAGTATATAGAGCAATCATATTTGGCATATCTATTTGATGTTTTTCACAAAAAAAACCTTTACATGTTCAAGTAAAGAATCTCACCCCTTGTTTTTGAATTCATTTAGACTGTCCTTTGTTGTTGAAACTAACTCAATGACATTAAGAATATCCTAAGATTTCATTTGTAGAGCTCGAGAAAGTATATCAGTTTTCCCCATTATTTCCTTTATCAAGTGAAGAATAAACACAAACTCAAATGATTTTAGGAAATAGTAAGCTGCATCAACATCTCTGCATTGAGAATAAGTAGCAGATACATCATCAATTATTCCCTGGAGAACAACACGAGTACAATCAAACATGTTAAGCAAACTGCAAACAAAACGAAAATGAGAACCCCAACGTGTATCACCAGCTCTTCTTAATGTCCCAAATTGATTCAATCCTTTGCATCATTCGATTTCACCTAGTTCCAATAATTGTTCAATCTCAGTTGCCTTCGCGTTTTGTAACTCATCACGATGCTTACTGGAAGTACATATTACATTAATTAAAAAAAATTAAGTTTGTGAAAAATTGGTGTACAGGAATAATTTCCCTTGAAGCAGCTACCAAGGCTATTTGTAATCCGTGAGCAAAGCAATGAACATAATATGCATAAGGACAATCCTTAAGACAAGTTCCTATAATCCATTCCTTTGCCCTCTCATATTACTAGTACCATCATAATCTTTCCCGTATGATCCCTTCTACATCAACAAATCTCAAACTATCACCATTTGCTCTTTTTTAGACTCATTATGTGACTCATCAACCATGACACAAAAATATGAATCACCCACTTCACTATGAATATGCTTTCTAACTTTATTTGCAGTAATACTAAGAATTTCTTTTTGAATTTCTCCATAAGTATATTTTGAATTATAAGGAGCTTTCTCTAATATAACATTTGCAACTTCATCATTATAAGATGCAAGAAGTTTTAGTAGTTGCAAAAAATTAGATTTTTGGAATTAGGAGATTCATCATGTCCTCGTAATGCATATGCTTGGAATGTAAACCAACGAACTGTGTGAATCAAAGTTTTTAATTGTAAACGACTCTTTAATATTTTTGCTTCATTACGAGGATGTTTCTTTGAACCTTTAGCATGATACTCTTTAAGACGTATTTAGAAAGGTCCTAGACTCATATAAGCTCGTATGACTTCTTCCCTTAAATTAACTGGATAATCCCACATTTGTTTTCGTTTAGCGGGATCTCTTTCTAGTTGTTTAAGATCCACCTCATTAGGATTTGATTGTGTAGCTTCATAAATATCATTCTCTTGTTGATTTTCATGTTCCTGTGGTTTTGGTTCACTTGTTGAAGCTTTGTGACGTTTAATCTCTATATTTTCATCATGAATTTCTTCATTATCAACCTTTCTTTTGAAGAAAGAATCAATCGTTTTCATATTTCCCATGATTGTATCTATAAAAATCAGAATCAAAAAGCAATTCCTTCAAAATCAGTTAATCAGTTATTCAGTCCTTTAACTTATATCACATATTAGATTAACATAAGAAAATAAGCAATGCTCATCATCCATCGATAATTAGTTGAACCAAGAAGAGAATATTTAACAATGTGTAATGAGTTGATTACAAAAATTCCAACAACAATCAAATAAAGAGGAAATCTTCATATCAATTCATAAGTTCATTCTAGACAAAAGCAACAAAATAGGCTCCTAAACAATTCCAACTTTCTAATTACAAGTATCTAATAACTAAACAAGTACAACAACAGAAATTAGAAAAGAAAGAATCCTTAATCCCTGAAAGATTGAAACATGAAAGAACATCAACCAAAGTGAAAGTAGAAAGCATACCTGATTCGCAAAGAATAGAGGATGACAATTGCAGTAGAATTGTAGTTGTGCAGAACAGCTGAACAACAACAGGCAGCAGCACCGCAACAGCCAGTAGGTGACGGTGGTGAATGGCGAGCCGACAACTTCGATTTAACGATTAGCAATTAGAGATTGAGCGAAGAATTGATAATAGGGCCTAGGGGATTGGGGAAAAAGCTTTACAGATTGAACGATGGTCGATGATTGCTTCTCTATCTCTCTTGAATTGGCTTCTTGGCAAACAAACATTGGATCAGGTCAGGAAGGGCCACATCCCAAAACTCACATTGTTGGGCTTATAATTCTGAAAATTAAACATATATACTCTACTTCTAGCCCAAAATTCAGGGGGGGACCCATCCTAACCCATAAAAGGTGCGCCCTTGAAGAGGTGGTGATAAAGGCTTGATGTTGTGGTGACGAACGATGTGTTAGGTGTGAGAAGTTGACGAGAAGATATCTCAAAGGGCCGGTGGGTGGACATGGGTTTGTGAATAAGACATCAATGGTGAAAATAAACAATGTTAATGATTAGGACTTGATTCAAAATGAATTAAAACCCTAGGGATCAAATCAACAATAAAAATCTTTCAAGGACTCAATCTAAAATTAATGTACCACAGAGACTATTTCTGTAATTTATACTTTTCTGTCCCAAAGTTTTCTTTTAAACCTATTGGTTTGCAATTTTATTTTTATAACGACATGAAAGTTTAATGAATTTTTAATTTTGTTTATATTTAGTTATTAATTTTTTTTCGTGTTTGATTTATCTTTGAATTATTTGAAATTGTTCACATCCATATGACCGGTTACAACTGGTCATAAGGTTAAATGTAAACAATTTCAAATAATTCAGGAGTAAATGAATCATGAAAAAAAAATCCAATAACTAAATATGGACAAAGTTGAAAGTTCATTAGTGTTTCAATTCCTTATCCCTTTTTGTAATCACATCTTAGTTTATTTTGTATATTGGTAGTAATTACTTAGATTGATAAATTTAATATTAGTCACTACGATTTGTTTTGTATCGTATTCATACGGAGTATTACTGTAATATCTTAATTTTGAGGTATTTCCATTTTTAGTCCTTGATATGAGAATTGTGGCAATTGGACCAAAATGACATTTTTGTAAATATGGGACATCCCCACATATGCTGGGCGTATGTAGCAGGATCCCAAACCTTAATTTTTAGGGTTTGGACCCTATTTAAACATCCTTAAGTCCCAAATCGTGTATCCCCCCCCCCCCCAATTAGCTTTTAACCCTATTTCAACCCTATTTTCAAGCCCTAATCCTTTTGAGGCCATTTTGAGCTTAGTGTGTGTTTTGGTGAACTTGAAGGAGCAAGAAAGAAGAGTAGATCATCCTAAAAGTGTGGAGCATCTTGGATCCAGAATCACATCATCTTTGGACACCCTTTGAAGGTAAAAAGCTCTAAACTTGATGAAGTTATGCTTAGATCTAGTTTGGCCATGAAGTTTTTGTTCTTTTGGTTCCATTAGTTTGGTATTATGAGTATGAGCTACCTCAATCCATTTAAGTTGTCCTTTCATTCGTTTTGGTGTGTAGATGCAGAAAATGTGGACTTGGTTGTTGTTTTCCCTTCCATGCATGAGTTTGGATGTCTTAACGGGTTAAGAGGTTAGGATTTTTGGTATTAAGCAGTTAATGGCCATGCAAGACCATAAAGTTGGAAATTTTATGCTTAAGAACAACATTTGATGTCTAGATTTGTAATTTGGACATAAGGACTTAAGAATTAAGCCCTTAATGGGAAGGGAAAGGGGTACCAAGTGGTACGTTGCGCAAACACGATCAACCACCCATCTTTTTGTCTAGAAAAGAGTACACATCGCATACCAGATGAGTACGCCCAATATACTCATATGTATTGAATACGTTTGACTATGACGAACTTTAACCTGATGGTATTTTGGGTATTTTGAGTTGTATTTGAGATTTGTCATTATTTGGTGAATAGGTGACGGGTAGAGCTGATTTTCGGAGTAGAGACCTATTCAGCTATGTGTTCAGTCAAAGAGGTGAGTTTTCCTCATTGGACTTATGGGTTGAAGGAACTAATGCTAGCCCACTGAGTTAATATTGCTATCATGTATTGATCTTTTAGTAGGGAGTCCTAGTATGTAGGATGTTGTTATGTAATAGTGATTTGTAGATCTGCATGTTAGTCTATTTACTAGCTATATGATTATCTTTTATTGTGATATGTTATCTGCTATGTTATGCCGACATAGTATGGATGGGTTGAGGCGTTACTATTTTGTGTCGAAGCCACTAAACCTGGGAGAAAGACAGACATAAGTTGTGGGGACACGGGGCAAGCCAAACTTATGTTGTGGGCTAAGGAGTAAGCCAAACATGAATTATAGGCTCGTAGGGAAGCCAGACTCATGATGTAGACTTGCAGATAATCCAGTCTATTAGTTGTAGACCAAATATGCATGCTATTATATGTTGTGTGGTGGTACATTGGGGGAACTCACTGACCTTTGGCTTACAGATTCAGTTTTATGTTTCAGGTACTTCGAATGACCGGGGCAAGGCGAAGGTGAGATCGTACACATCATTCGATGATATGTTTTGGGAGATTTTATGATGTATTTGATCATTGGAGTATTTGTATTTGACACTTGATTTGATATTGTTTTGGTTGAAAACAATGGTTTCTTTTAAATTATAAATGAAATTTTTTATCGTGATTTTTGGAATGTTACAATTACATAATAGAATATGTAGCATATAATTAACCATATTTTAGTTCATGGCTTTTTTCCTAGTCTATAAGATAAACGATTCAGTAGAGTTTTGTTTTTCACCTGTAAGTGAAAAGAAAACCCATAAAGAAGAAATAATCAATAGAGTTTCACAAAGGCAAAAATATGCATATACAAGAAATAAAAAAAATAAGACTGAAAATCAAAATATATAGAACCAATGTAACGTCCCAAAAATTACAAATATATTTTTATTTATTAAACAGATCAATCAATTAAACATTTATATCGAAAACCATTGAATAATATACGATTTGTTGAAAACCATACATTACTAGAGTTAAGTTTATAAAACTGTGGAAACGAATATATTCGATGCGTGTGTACAGTCCCATTAAGCCCTTCTCATGAACAACCTATAAAGCATTTTATCTACAACTATAAGCATAAAGCTTAGTGAGTTTCCCAGTATAGCACATATTCCATCATACATATAATACGTCCACAACAAGGTCACCGCTCTAACTTCGTGTGGCCAACTCTACAATTAATATGAGTATAATATACATTATAATCATGCATAAGACTAACAGGTCTACTCAAATCACAAGTGAAGGCTATAGCTCAAATCATAGTCTTAAAATCACTTCATACCATGGGCTACCCCCATGGTATTCCCTTGTAATATCAAGGGCCATATCCTAGTCTTACAAGAAAGTATCATGGGCTACCCTAATGGTCTTTTATACAATTACCATGGGTTACCCTCATGGTCTTTCCATGTAATTCCATGGGACAAATCTTGGTCTTACATGAAAGTGTCGTGGGCTACCCCCATGGTCTTTCATACACTTCATCAGGGGCTAGATCCTGGTCTTTTATATAATTACTAAGGTCATATGTAGTCAAGGATCAGAGAAATAAACGAACAAATGATCCACCTGAGAGCGTACAATCATACTAGAACATCATAATAAGGCATTATATCAAGAGTTCTCAAGCTACCCAACTTATACTACATAAAACTTGTAATAGCATTACCACATAATCATGTAACATAAACACCTAACATATACTAGTAGATTCCATATCCTTGGTAACTAGCCTTCCTTTATTACCCCGCCATTGACCATTTCTCAATTAAGCCATTCGATGGTAAAACCTACCTAATCGTGATAACTTGCATTCCCCAGTTACCCTAACCAAACATAACTCCTAACAGAATTATACAAAATACATGCAAGACCCTACCAGTCTAACATACCAGGACATCGAGTGTCCTACACCACACATGTATAACAAGGAGTCATCCTTGATAACTAGCTTGCTCGTACTTCATACCACTATCTAATCATGAAAGGGATATACAATGAGATATGTGGCATAGTGAAAAACTCACCTGGAATGAATAATTGGAGAAGCATGACAACACTCTCACTCCTTGTACTAATCAATCCCACGAGAAGGCTAACATTGAATAAAGATCCTTCCAAAATCAGCAACCCAAATCCTCCAAGTTTGACCCAAAGTCAACTAGTCAAAATTTAACGGTCAAAGGTCCATAAAGTCAACAACCAACCAAGTCATCAAAAGTCAATGGTCAACCAAGTCAACAATCGCTACGTCATGGGCCCTCCTTGGCCATATTGTGGTAATGGCAATTTTTCTCAAATCTTTATTAAGAGCTTAATCCTTACTGATCAAGGCTCAAAACTTTAGATCTATTTCATCTTAATGACGTAATGGATAATGTTTCCAACTTTATCAATCAGGACCTCACCATAAGACAAGAGCATAAGCCCTATGTCCATTAAGTCCTTAATATAACAATAACTTGCTCTAAACATGACTCTTTTCACATTCTTAGAAACCAAAGGACCATTTGAGAGCCACAATAAGATCTGGAGTTCCACAAACTCCAAGAGCATTCAAGGAAGGGACCAAAATTACCTAAAATGGGATCAAACTTGAAACAAGAAGAACAAAGGTCAATATGTGAACATTATGCCTTCAACAACTCAGAAATTTGAAGAGAATGATGGATAAAAGATAGCCCATTGCTTCTTTGCACCAAAATGAACTTCCTTCTTCCTCAAACTTCACCAAATTATAATGAACAAGCCCAAAATCAAGAAAATAAGCTCTTATTCTTCCATGGACACTAGAGTTTTGTTTAGGAAGGATGGAGGTTGGATAGAATGACCTAACCCTAGAGTTAGTGTCATTAAATATGAAGGAAACTCTAGAAATCATAGGCTTAGGTTGCAATAGTTGCCACATCGTGGCTATCCTCATGTCACATCGTAGTGATCACTAGAGACACACATTTTTATCTAACTCATTCCATGTCATGACACTAGAAGAAAACATCCCTTTGATGACACGCAAACAATGACACACACTGAGTTACGATATGCATTTTGTGTGTGTCCTAAAAATAATGTCAGCTTTCTAAAAATTGAAGAATAGAGGGCACTCATTTGTGCATGCCCTAAAATTAGTGTCTAGCAAAAGAATTACAAACACGGAGGACGCTTACCTTAAATGTGTGTCATCTAGAAATGCCGCGTTATAATTTTTTGCTCAAACATGCGTTTTAAAAGGGGGAAAAAGAAATCCTCTCAAATTCTAAAATTTTGAAGTACCCCGCTTCTGCACTCTCTCCTCTGGATTTCCTTTATCTCTCATAAAATCGCATAGAGCCATTCCCTCCGTCCTCCTTCTCTCTAATCCTAGACACAGCCACTGGCCATTCACGATGATGTCTTCTTACCCTTTCCTTCTTCTTTGCTGCATATCGTCGAAGATATCTTCTCCTCCCCACCACCACCACCAACCTGTATCCTCATTCAATTATGATAATTAGGTTTTTATTTGCCTCGTTCAAAGTTTTAGGATTAATAATATATGTGTATTCTATAAAATGCATTTGATTTCTTCAAATTGTAAGAACCTTCAACTTATTCAGCAAATTTAAGTTATATACATGCTTCTTACAACCTCATTTCCTCACTTTATCTTCTTTTAGAGTAAAACATACCACTTTTTTTTATCGATCTTTCTATTTACCAGGTGCATGTGCTTATTGTATCCTTCTTATGTTTTTTGCTTCTTTGACCTACTATTCTTGACTATCCACGTATGATAAAGGTATAACTTTTTTGAATGTTGACCAGAAGGTGTTCGTTTAATGCTCATTTGGTACTCACATGCATATATACATACATACATATATATATATATATATATATATATATATATATATATATATATATATATATATATGCGTTAAACGAACACTGTTTTCTGAATTGGTTTTGAATGTAGCTTTGTGCTTTGGTGTCTGTAGTTTCTTAGTGTCCGTAAATATGTTTCCGTTTTTGTTAGTTTTCGCCGACAACATGCACGAGTGTTGTTTGTGTTCATAATTAGGCCTCTGTTTGTTTGGTTTTGGTTGATATTGTTTATATACTTCCTTATCTACAATCGAGATTCTATGGAGTGTGTGGAAATTATTTGTTAGTATTAGATTTGGAGTTTCTGTTTGTTGTTATAGCTTTTGCGTATTTATAATGCTTGTACTTCGAGACTCTGTTCATGCCTAATCTTCATTGCGTATTCGAAGCTTACTTGACCGTATTTTTTCTATTGAAAATTGGATAATTGTTGTGGTGAAAGTGGAGTTAGATTAGGGCTTGTAAGAAATGTTGATAAATGGGATGTTGCAATGCATGAAAATGTATGGCATGGTTTTAGAGGCATTTGTACTATGGATGTTTCCTTTTGATAGTGATTGTTACAGATTTGAAGAATCAGATTAAATAATCACTTAATAAAGGTTAATATAGGCATATATTGACATACATATATCTGTATCTGATTATTTTGACTCAAAATAATCACGTACTTTTGTTCAAACTATCAAATTTTCAAACACCCTTACCCTTCTGTGTTTCTTTCTTAAGATCAAAAAAGTTGTAAACTTGTACTGCTTATGTGATTAGTATTTTACTTATTTATTTTACATACACTTAAACTATGTATATGAATTTTTTAAAAGAGTAAGTCCTCTTATTGTTGTTTTCTATTGTGATTCATTGTATGTTAAGCAATATGCATACCTGCTCTGGAGCTATCATGGGTTCCCTTGAACAGTCTGTGTGGATTAAGAAATCAACATTCTTCCCAAAAAGACCTGGTTTCACTAAGTTTCCACATCAGCTGAATCTTGGATCACTCAAGCCGTGTAAATCATCTAAAGTTGAAGGTAGATTGATTACTGGGAACCCATCCACTACTTGTGTCCCAATCACAGTTATTGAAGGAGGTAATTTGTCATAACTTTTTAGTTGTTTACATACATGTTATGATTATAACATAGACACCTAAAAAATAGATCTATAGTACAGACATGTTATGATTATAAGATAGACACCTAAAGAAGAGATCTATAGTGATATTTATTTAAGAGTCAAAATAAAATAATAACATAACCATAATAGATTATAAATCAGAATAAATAAAGTAAATATTTGAAGTAGTTAAGGATATTGAAGGAAGCTCTTTAACAAAAATGGTAGAAGTGTTTGCAAGAATATCTAGATCAGCAGAAATTGAGTAAGTTACATTTTTGTCCCCCGGGTTTAGTTGATTTTTTGCAATTTCCGTCTTACTTGGAACAATGATCAAAACAATACAAATAAGAACCAAAATTACAAGAGGTATATTTTGTGACTGAATTGCAAAGATAAGTTGAACCAAGGGAGCAAAAAGTAATTTCTTAGTAAATTAAAAATTTAGTCCCTGAGTTTAGCTAACCATATTTGTCCTTATTTGAATTATTCTACTGGTGTGAAGAAGGGAAATCTAACAAAATAATTGTTTCATAATTAGATAACAAGTATTTATAAAAAAATTGGAAAAAGTTTAAAAAAAATCTCAAATACATACCAAAATTGCAAAAGATAAAGTTACAAATAGCGGTTAAACTCAGGGACCAAAAATGTAACTGACTGAAATTTGTCAATTTTTAATGATTTTTATAATGGAATGGAATGAAGATGAATTAAATTTGAGTTTTATAGGTGATGGAAATGGGTTTGTTGACCATCAACTGAGTAATGTTGACCCTGAAGTTAGTGCAATAATATACAATGAAAAGCAACATCAGTTTAGAAGCTTGGAGCTTATTGCATCAGAAAACTTCACATCAAGAGCTGTTATGGAAGCAGTTGGATCTTGCCTTACAAACAAATATTCTAAAGGACTTCCTAGAAAAAGGTCAGTATGCTCTTTATATAAAAATCACCACATATTTAACATTTATTCCAAGATGGCCACATGTTCTGTGAAATTGCATATTTTTGTGATTTTGTTTTTTAATATTTTTTGTGAAAAAGGGAGGGGTGGAGAAGGTTTTATGTAAGTTTTTGTGATTATTTCTCTATAAAGAAACATTGGGAACTTAGTTTTTTTTTTTTTTTTTTTTTTAAATTTAATGATACATTGCAAACTTAATAGATATCTTGCTATTATCGGTTCTTAAAACCAATTTATGACTAAACTTTAAAATACTAGATTTTAGTTTATAAGTGATCGCAACTAATGGAAAATAAAATGAAGTCTTATTTGGCGGCTAAAGAACCTCATAACAAGTGATATGAATTTTACAAAAGGTACATGATTTGTTGGATGCATGCAATATTCATGAGACCATGTTTTTATAAATTATAATTGTAAAACATATATAAAACATTTTCTACAAATGCAAGTCATTGTCGTCCTTTTGAAGAACACTCGTTATCATTTGTATGGTCTTAGTGTCACCTGGTCACTTGGTCATTAGAATTGTCTTATGATGTTCGGGGAAGTTTTGTAGTTTCTGGTTTATAAATGGTCACCTTGTCATTGGTTAGTTACAATACTACAAGTTGTTTCAAGTTGAATGACTTGATCAGAATCTTGTGTGATAAAGGTTACGTAAGCATGAGAGGTCCTAGACATACATGGGATAAATATGCAAAGTTAATCAATAGTTTTTTAGGATCCCATAATCTAGGAGTTACATATCGTATGCAATTAGTAATTGCTACCTACGAAGTTTGATTAATTTTATGGGATAAATGTCACCTAGCCATTTACTTGTTGCGTTACTTGAATCCTAGGCTTTAGTAAATTAATTTTTGTATGAAACAATAAAAGATATTAATTTTTAAAGACTAAATATTGAAAATACTAAATGAAACTTTGTTAAATTCTGTTGATAATGGTAAATAATTTCATACCCTGCAAAATCCCTCTCCTGTTGAGTTTCAAGAGATAGTAACATTTGATGGTTATAACTTCTATAACTAGTATAATATCCTGATGTTCTGCTTTAAGGATAAATATAAATTATATATATATATATATATATATATATATATATATATATATATATATATATATATATATACTGAAAGATCACATATCTGAATAACCTCTGCAATCCAATCTAGCTGATCATGATACTTTGATGGAAGTATTATTGTGATGATGTTGATGTGTCTCACATCATACTGGGTAATTATGAATCATATCAGATGTCTCATCAGGTAAAGCAAATATTCTATCAGAACACTAGAAAGTGCTTTAAGTCTGTTCAAGCATTGAATAAAGGAAATCTAAGAGAGTGTGTGCTCAAATAGACTTATAGTTCAGTTAAGAGTAATACAACATAAACCCATAAATAAAGAAAGGACAAATTGATTATTGTTCTTTTCTATTGTGGATGAAACTGCTCACTAAAAGAGGAAGTGCTTCTCTAATCTCATTGAGCTAAAGAAGTCTGACTTAGAGAAGGCTTCAGACATCTATACGATAGAACTATTTATTTTTCCATCATTCACTTGAGTATGTTATATTTTAGGTGACAAAAATAATTGATATTATGTGTTGATGATTGGAAGAAATAATCAACTGATTACAAACGAATGGCATTTCATGCCGAAGATATATCAAGTGTTGTTATAGTCTTTATTTAAACAATAGATGTTTTATACCTATTCGTATTGGGACATGTAATAGTTCTAATTCATGAATAAATCTAGATTCACTTATTGTTTAATGGATGTTCACATTCATATTCTAAAACGTTGTATTCTGGGTTAAAGAATATTTTCTCATAAGGTCATTTATGAAGTAAATCTATAAGATTTCGTTAAATTGATAGTTCTGATCATGACACATAAATAATAAAAGGATATTTGATTCAAACTTATCTATGTAATAATCATCATGACTATATAAATATGAAACACATGTACCAACTTCAAAAGGATGGAATTTTTTAAGGCAAATGAGCTTGATTCATTTGATATATGTAAATCCTATTTATATAGGAAGATGATTCGCAAGAGTCTTTATATATTAGTAGTTAAATAACAAAGGCTTGACAAATAATTATACATAAGTGATGTATGTAGTCTTTTCAATCGATAAATAAATTTGATGATAGATACTTAATCAATTTCACTGACGACTTTTATTCATTATTGTTGAAACTTTTTATTTGCTTAAATTGTGTCAAAGTGAAGATTGAAATGCAACTTAATGAGATCCATCATTAACCTTTCATTGTGACAAAGAAAATGAATTTTTGTAAACCAAGTCTTCTTGGAACATCTTAGGAGTTGTGGACTCGATTCACAACTCATTTCGTTTATAACACTCATTCATCATTAGTATGGTTCTTGTAGCACATGATCACCTAATCACTGGGATCTATATTTTGATGTTCAAGGTAGCCTTCGTATTCTATAGTGGGATAGGGTCACCAGGCCACTGGTTGAATGTCAATAGTACACGTTTTTGAAGTGGATAAAACATAGACCTTGCAGTCTATTATATGATGTTTTGAAAGAACTATTTACTTTACAAAATTTTGGAATTATGCTCACTTCAACAAATATATATATATATATATATATATATATATATATATATATATATATATATATATATATTCCCAACCAAACAAGTAGATTTAATACTTTCATTGGACTAAGGATGTAATGGTTCATCCTTAAGTAAATGGTATGAAGTTATGGAGCTTATGTTAGACAATAAGCTTAACCACTCTAGCCTCTACTAATTGCATTTATGTAGACTAAATTGTCATTCGATAATACAAGTGCTTAGAAATTTCTTTTTCTAAGTAGGAACATTTTGGAACTTTAAGAGCTAAAGATCCATAAGCTAAATGCATCATAGTTTGGAACTAGCAAGTTTTTCAACCATTGTTGAATCTGCTTAATAGTTTATCAGATACTAATAAAACACATAGAGAAGCATTCGTGTGTGATTATCAAGCAGTGGCTTGATCAATCTTCCTCGATATAGTTTGATTATAAAGAGTTAGTGAGTTTTCAAAGGAGAAAACATACATGAATGAAAATATTCTCAGATTTACACTAACATCTCAAAGTAAAAATCATCTTTCTTATAAGATAATTACATTGTGTGATTTGATTATAAATCAAGATGACTCTTGTGTTTTCTATAAATCTAGTAGGAGCTTAGTAACATTCCTACTCGTATATGTAGTCAACATACTAATAGCTGGAACAAAGATCTGTATAGATAGATCATGGCAACTTAAAGGATTAAGTAAACTTGCATTAATTGTCAAGTATCTTAAAGAGATTAATATAAAACACTCTAAGATAATTTACCTTGTCAAATAACACATGACATGATTTTGAGCATTCTTCAAAATTCTACTATAATGTTTTGAACTAGATAATATGATCGTATTCCATATATGGTTGTAAATGGATTAATCATATATGTGACGATTATGCATAAAATAAGTCGTATGCTTAGATCATGTAGAATGATACATGTATAATCTGAGAACAAGTCATGGTGTGATTTAAAGGAACATCCTAAAGTACTTGCGAGAACTAGAGAAATATTTCTATTCTACGGAGTATTTGAAAGAAAGCTATGTTTAAGTTGTTACCCTTATGTTGAACTTCCAAATAGATTGAGATGACTACCAATCACAATTGGGTGTATCCTCATTATGAATAAAGAGAAAATTACATGCAAAGTGGTTCCATGAAGATTTTAGTTTCAGTTACACATTAGATTTAGAGTACATTCTTGTACGAAGAACCACATACTAAGATGCTAAATGTAGAGTGCATTGTGACTATAAGTAATCCCATTACGCAAGTATTGGTATTTAAGTCATGTTTAAGCATCTAATACATTCTTAATAGTTTTTTCTTTATATATGAGTTCTATATAAAACTAAAAATGTTTGTATTCACAAAGTTTATACATATCAAGTTTGACAAATCTACTTAACAAAGCTCCTTCATTAGCTAAAGCATGAAAGTCAAGCCGAAGCCATAGGGCCTTGTTGATATAAGTATATGTATTTGATTGAAATTTAGTATTTGGATATTGGAACAATAAAAGCAACATATATTGTAATGAGTTGAGATATTGGATATGAGTCTTTCAGTAAATAATAGTTGTGTTCTATATTAGCATGTTTGAATCCTTAAATAACTAGGTTATTCTAAATATCGATAGTCGTTCATAGTTGTGGGAGCATGTATGAGGTAAGACTAATATTAGTGGATTTGTTTATTTTCATGGAGATGAAAACTAAAGAAAGCAGTAGCAAACTTCGAGCAACAACCAAGTGAGTCACTCTACGAGGCATGGGAGCGATACAAGGGATTAATAAGAAATTGTCACCAAAATGATTTGAATGAGCAACAAAAAGTTTCAATCTTATATGATGGGGTCAACGTGATGAGAAGGCAACTTCTTGATTCTCAAGGACCTTTAATAAAGAAAAATCACGATGAGATTAAGGAATTGATTGATGAATTTTCTAAGCGTTCACATGAATACCACAATCCTAGACATGATTGAGCTAAAGGAATTAGGGGTGGCACTTTTGAAGATATGGCAGCTGGTTTGGCAATGCTAAGCACTATGGACTGGAGATTGACTAAGATAGACCAATATATCCATGCTATTCGTGTGGGTTGCGAAAGATTCAATGGTCCACATTTAATAAAAGATTGCCATTTGGATGAGAAAGGGAATAAGAAGGCTCAAGTATGCTACTCTAGTGGAGACAAATATGATGAATATTGGAGGAAGCCAAAGAAACAGTGGTTTCCATATGATGAATATAAAAAGAAAAAAAAATTTAGGCAAACTGGCCGAGACTTTTATTAAAAAGAGCAACCGCCACATGAAAAGAATGTCGATTAAAGTCCATGCTAACTAGATTCATGGAGGCTTTGGAGAAAAGACACGATGTGACCGATGTGGTTATAAGAGAACAACAAATTCTCATGATGGACCAGCAGGCTTTGCTAATGAATCATTAAGCATCAATCCAAAACATCTAAGCTCAACTTGGAAAATTAAATATGTTGGTTTAATGAGCGACTTTCTCCAAAACTTCACAATAAAAAGCATCAACCGAAAGTAATGGTGATAGAAACTGAAGAAGATATTATTTATGAGTTCCTAGAA